CCTTTAAGATGAGCATGCCTGTTGTTAATACACCCTTGACATGAAGATTTCTACAGTCTGACCTGTGGGGGGGAAGAGGGGCAGGACTGTCAACTTAGGAGGTCCGGTTAACACGTGCACACATATAAACGGTACATCAAGACAGTCAACAAGCACCATCAAAGTGCTTACAGTGCAGGTAGTAAAAAAAAACAAAACAAAAACAAAAAACAAGCACCCACTATGCAGCCCAGGAGAGTAGGCTTATGACTTTGCATTAACCTCTCAGGGAAAAGAATCTGAAAACCTGAAACGAACACGACTTTGTAAACCCACTCGATACTTCATTTCTGCCATGAGGGTGGTGTCATTTGCATATCTGAGGGGATTGGTATTTCTCCGGGTGCCAGGAGCCAACACACGAGACCCTACCCTGCCCCTAAAAAGGCCACAGGGGAGAAAACCTGACAGGCAAGGCGAATCAGGTTTTCAGGGGTTTTCGAAAAGGCCAGCTCACGAGATCCCACCCATGACAAGGTCACGAGGAGAAAGCCTGGCAGGCAAGGCAGATCAGGTGTTCAGGGATTTCGAAAAGCTGCCCCCGGCTCCCACCTTAAAGATGATATCTGTCTTTCTGATGCCTGCCTCAATGGACTCTGACACAGGCAGGAAGGCCTTCCCCAGTCTCTTCCCAAATAAGAATCCATTTAGAACTGTAATCAATAAGTTTCCCAGGTGGTGGCATTTTATGAGATTGTTTAGGGTGAAAGGAGTGTTTTAATTCAAACTGCTTTGCTTGGTACTTTGTTAGCCAAATGCATTTATGCGCTTGGTACTAATATGCATGATTGCTTATAATATCCTGATCATGAAATAGCATAAAGAACCTGATTATATAAAAGCCCCAATAGATATAGAGCTCTTTTAAGGGGTAAAGGAGTCCTATTAGAAAACATAAGAAAATTATCCTATAGGTGGTTATTGGGTTGTGATTTGTTTGCTGTGTTTTGCTTGCTGTATTTTTGCCTTTAATGTGCTAAGGTTGTGTTATAAAAACCACTGTTAATATAGTTAAAGATCTAGAGAAATAAGAACTTAGCCCTAGTGTGGTAACAATGAGATGGTTGTTAATTGTCAGTCAGGAGTGCTAGGCAGAAGCTGCCTCACTGAAGCCGCAGAGTCTGTATGGGGTAAACTTCTTAGATAAATGCAACTGACAACTTTTGCAGAAAGATTAATTTTTGTATTAACAAGAATATGATTCTACTCTGTACTATTTCCCTATGTGACCCTGTTACCTTTCAGTTAAAGTCACCATAAAAACGGAAAATAGGTTTACAATCACCTGACCTGCATGAAATGTTAATAGCCTCAAGGCCAGAAGATCATGTGCTAAAAATTACTATAGAATTAGAAAGCAAAAAAAATCCTGCTCTTCCTAAAAATCGAAATGATGTCATGCTAACCCTGTGTAATCATGAGTAAGCATCTTGTACCTTGAAAACGATCTGTGAAAGGGAATAAAACGGGTTGTCAAAAAGTAAAACACCGATTTGGCCCTATCAAGGCTGGTCTCACGTGTCTTCTCTCTCTCTCGCCGACGCTGTTCATCCTGAGGGTACCCCCTGGATTCTGCCGAGGCTGGACCCCGGCATCCTGGATTCCAGCTTGTGCTTCATCCGACCCAGCGTTTCGCATGATGTGTACTCAGCATGTAAGCTGGATAAGCAGGGTGACAACATATACAGCCTTGATGGGCTCCTTTCCCTATTTGGAGCCAGTCTGTTGTGTTCCATGTCTATTTCTAACTGTTTGCTTCCTGACCTGCAGAAATACTGGGGTTTTTTGTTTGTTTGTTTGTTTGTTTGCTTGCTTGTTTGTTTGTTTTGTTTTGTTTTGTCCTGTTTTTTTAATTCCCTAACCTGAATGAAAAGCGAGAGAGACAGGGAGAAGAAGGAGGGATGGATGGGCGGGCGGGCGGGCGGGCGGGCGGGCGGGCAGGGAAAAAAAAGTAATAAATCAAAATAAAATAAATAAGAAAAGGACCTACCGTTCAATCTGTTGCTTTCCACAGACAAAGCAAAAACAGAGGATCGAAAGGACACAATGTTTTATAATGTGAATTTTGAAAGAGGGACATCATCCACTTTGGTCACTTCATAACACTACCCCTATCAGCAGAATGGAATCGTTTCTGTTTTTCCCTCTACCTGGTCCTTCCAGACTTCAGAAACTCTCAGCGAGGGTTCTTATCTCCTTGGTGGTAGAGTGTTTTTTCCACACGTTCCTTACGGGCCCGCAGGATGTTTCCGTGAAGCGGGGATACACACTGCTGGATAGGAGAGTCCTGTGCTACGTGTGTTTGTTCCTTTGCGTGTGGCTCTTCACCCGAAAGGGGGGCTGGATCCTGAAGTTTTCCGAGTGGCCTCCGATATCTGGGGGGAGACATGTCCCGTGTTCTCTTGCCCTGCTGACGGAGAACTCAAAAGGCCCTGTGCCTGAAGCCCTGCGGATGGAAGCGAGAGGACTTGGTGAACGTTTCTGACAGAGCTTCCCCGGTGGCTCACAAGGTCAAGAGTCTGCCTGCGATTCAGGAGACCCGGGTTCCATCCCTGGGCCAGGAAGGTCTCCTGGAGAAGGACATGGCAACCCGCTCTAGGACCCAACTCTGATGTCTAGACATCTCCTTGACTGACTCCCCCTCCACTGACTGGTTTCGAGTAAATCCACTCCAGGGGTGAACCGGTATGTTTCCTTGCTTTCCCTACAAGTGTCTCTGAGGAAAAAAATACCCGATTGCTTGCACCCCAGGCCTGCTTTCCCGAACCCGTCCATCGACCTCACAGACTCCTGAGAGGAGATACGATAGCTGTTTCACTGAACGGAGGATCTGTGCTCAGAAACTCTTTCCACGACATGGAGGCCCATACTAACTAACCTATTTGGTCCTTCCCTCGTTCCTTCCTTCTTTCCTTCTGGATTTTTGTTGTTGTTGTTGCTGTTGTTGTTGTTGTTCCCCCCTTTCTCCCCCTCCTTTTTTTTTTTTTTTTCCTTCGGCGGGGGGTGGGTGGGGGCTTCTCTCTCAGGTCCATGCACACGCACACGCGCCGTTTCTCACGTACACGCGTACATGCATGCATTCACACACACAGCCACCAGTTCAGCTTTTCATGGGTTTCAGGGAAGTGTCAGAGGAGGGAACTGCTGGGGTCCGGAGTAGGCCGCCGACCCCACCCCACCCCACCCCACCGCACATGAACCTCCATGCCCTGTGGAGTGTTTTGGACTCAAGTGACTTAAGAACCAAGAACCGGCCAGCGCCAGAGGAATGCTCCGCCCCTCCCTCCTTCTCTGTCTCTCTGAAGGCAGGCAGGAATGAAAACCTCCTTCCACGGAGGAAGATGTCAAGTGATGATGGCTGCTTCGACGCACGTCCGTGATCCTCACATGCATGAGTGGGGTTCCCTGGGTTACGAAAAGGAAGAGACTCTTTTGGCCTGATACAAGGCGAGTTTGTCCCTCAGCCTCCCGCCCCACCCCCCACCCCTAGCCCCCTTCCTCCGCGCGGTGCCCAAGGGGCCGTCTCAAGGTGGAGAAACGGAGAAATGGGGGTGGGGCGGATCACCATTCAATAGAGAGAAGCTCGAGGCAAAGTCAAAGGCTCTGACCTGACTGGAAAGCTTTCTGCATTTGAACGAAGCTATCTGACGAGGCCCTGCAGGGGGAGGGTGGGGGTGGGGCCCACAGACAATAGCCCCTGCCTGCCGGCCGGCCGGCCGGCCGGGCTGAGGAGGCCCTCTGGCGGCGGCGGCGGCGGGGCCACGCCCCCGACTCCTGCAACTCGGTCCCCTCAAGGAAACTTCTGGGGTGACTCCCTTGTCCAGGGAGTCATCAAAATTGGCCTGTTTCTGAAAAAGGCCCGAGTCACAGCTGTGACAGAGTCCCTGGATCTCTTCTTGACACATGGATTGACCTGCACCCTCCCATCCTGTCAGATCCTTTGGACAGGCTCGAAGAGGTCTTTGGCCTGGGCCGGAAAACAAGCCGAGATAAACAAATACGTTTTTTGTCTGTTTTTTTTTTTTTTTTTTTGAACAGGCTGAAAACGATGCAGGGCCGTGGATCAGAGAGAAACCTGCTCCTCTCACATGCGTGAAGACAGGAAGTTCTCAGCGGGAGAGAACCTGCCTTCACTTTTCACTTGTCAGGGGGACCTGGACCGGTCCCCTCGCCTCGCACGCCCCCAACCCCTAGCCCAGCTCTACACCGCCACCCCCACCCCCACCCCCGTCTCTCCAACGTCAGCCCCACCCCCACCCCCACCCCTTGGCCACCGAGGGGGGCCCAGGGAGGGGTGACCATGGCCTTCTCAGCCCCTGTTCTGAGATGTCACTTGGGAAACCGCTCTAGGCCGAGATGCCAGATTGCTGCCCTGCTGCTTCGTGTCCGTCTCCATCAGCCATGCCCAAAAGGCACGTGAAATAATGGACAGCAAATAGTGCACCCAGAAAACACAGAATGATCCTCCTGAACACCACACGGCCATTTTTATGGATCCACATAGAGGTCGTTGATATCCCCACTTGATGCATGAATAGTATTCACACAGACTCGATTTATTTTCACTTTGATTGGGGGTGCCCTATCCAGAGAGATCATGCGGGTCAAAAAGCAAACACAGAACAGAGCAGAACAGAACCAAAACCACAGCCAAATCGAGGGAGTGCTGAACCAGAGGAGCTCACACAGCCTACGAGGTGTCCCAGACTGTGAAGGAGAGTTTGTGCTCACGTATCTATGTGGAGGTCTGAAGGGTCACTTGCCAGCGATGCAGATGCCATGCGAGTGGCCGGAGATGTTTCTCCATAGGATCTCTTGGGATGTCGCACGCAGGCAGGGTGCCAGGTGCGGGGGCACCCTGGGAGGTCCGATCCCCCGATAAGTTGGCATGTGGGGCGCAGGCAAGCACACAACGTTTTCTTGCAGGGAGAGCCGAGCGAGGAGAATTCAGGGGTCCATACCTCCAAGCCCCAAGCTGCTGCTGCTGCTGCTTTTTTTTCTTTTTTTTTTTTTCCGCCCCAAGCTTCTTGAAAGGGTTCCACGTAGCATTCTGAAACGCCAGGCGATGGAGGGACAGGGTTCGTGGTTGCAAACGTCTGGCTGTAGGAATTCTTTGTCTTTGGCGACGGTTCACTACGTGGGTGAGGTCATGAGGTTCCTATACCCCTTCCACGGGCCAGATGTGACAGAACATTCTACTTGTTCCTGGCCTAGCAAACAAAAGTTGTTCACATGAAATGGACTAAACCACAATCCTGCGGATCTCTCCATTGCTCTACTGTACTCCCACGTTGCATGGGTGGTTGCCTTCACCTGCGAACACTGACGGGTTGATCCAAGCTCAGAAGACTGAGAAAAACAGCTTTCTCTCTATGCCCTCCTTTGTAGCCCAGCCCTGCTCAGCTCCTCCCAGGCTTCTGGAAGGTCCAGTTCCTCGAGCAAGGTTCACATTCCAGGGACTCCTGGGGTATCTCTGATTCTATGATAGACACTGACTATGCTGTCCTGCCAATAGGACACACAAAAAATCTATGTGAAAATAGTGAGTCTAATAGCACTCTTGGTAGTTTTTTTAAATGAAATCAATAAACACATTGTATGAAGTAAGTATCATTACAGATACATACAGATATGGATGCATATACCTGGCTGTATTATTCACATAAGCACTGCCTGCCATGCAAAACCCCAAATCTATATCATCTTTAAGTCCATGGGGATGTTTTGCTGACAGTTATACAGAAATCATCATTGTACCTAGACAGGTATAAAGATATGTATTTGTCAAGATAGGAGAAAAGAACACAAACTACTTAACAGAGGTGAACTAGTGTCATGATTTAAATGTGGGGCCATTGACATTAATTCATGATCCTGCCTAGGGACTGGATCAACTTTTGACCTTTTTAGGGTTGCTCAGTGGACCAAGTTCTTAGTTTACATAGTCCTCAATATAAATCCAAGCTCTAAGGATTGCTCTTTCTTGTTCACTGGGGGAGTGGGAAGGGTCCACACTCCTGTTCCCACTGCTCCCCTCCGTGAATTGGAGTGCGAATCTAGATGGGCCTCTGACCACACACATCGCTGGGTTACATCACGCCGGTTTGGCCGGCCTTCGGTTCTCACAAACTGGCACTCTTGCTGCTTCTCGAAGTGTCCTAGAGAAGAAGACATCGGATTCCACATTAGATCAGCTTCTTTGACTAGCGACGGCACAACAGCCACAACAAGTGGGATGGATAAACACAGAAGTTGGTTTCCTTCGGACTGTGGAGCGTGCGTGTGTGTGTGGGGCGCGGGGGGGGGGGGGGAGAGAGAGAGAGAGAGAGAGGGAGAGAGAGAGAGATGCCTTTGTGGTTCTAAGGCAAGCACTGAGGAGTTGAGACTTTCTTTAACGAACCTATTTTCCTTCATTGCAGTCGTGACGGTCCAATGGTTTGGACGACAACATTTCGTGTTTCAGGGTAGATGATTTCAGAAGGCTGTGAAGGGACTTCCCTGCCCGGTGGTCCAGTGGCTAAGAATCCACCTGCCGATGAGGCAGGGGACAGGGTGTTTTCGATCAATCCCCGATCAGGGAAGATGCCGCTGGGCTCCGGGCAGGTTCGATACAAGCGTATAGAACGGACAATGCCAGGCAGGCGTGAAGGCGAGGGCAGACGGGGGGGGGGGGGGGGGGGGGACTCTGGACGAGGATGACTGACACTGACGTCTCGGTGTAGGTGGGTTGTGGCCGGCACACTCCTCTGGGGCAGGATGTTCCTAAGACCGTTGCGGGAGGAGCAGGGGACCTAAGGGAACTCTCTGTGCTCTCTGCTCCATTTTTGCCCCCGGAACCCTAATCTGCTCAAAGAGAGGATTCAGCCTATGGAAAGACCAACTCACACGTGAGTGAACCTCCTTTCTGGTTCACTTGGATTCTGAAAGCGTGACGCTCAGATTCACGCAACTCCCTGGATGTCTGTTCTTCCTGAGATCCCGGCCTACTCACTGGAAGAGCACATGGAGTCGGATGAGATCTCCCTCTACATGGCGGCTCCAGTGTGCACACATTTCAATGGCTACGGCTTGTGGACATCGCACCGAGAGCCTAACCCCGGTGTTTCAGACGCCTGTTTCCACAATGGCCGAACAGTTCTAACTGCGGGAAGCCCAAAATTTGCCCCTGCCTGTTCGATCTGCAGGGACTCTGCAAAGGACACACGTGCCCGGTCTCATGACCGATCCCCCTTTTCCGGAGCCAGCCTGGCGTGTGATCTGTTTTCCAGGCCATAGGCACGCACTGGCACTGGGGAGTTGTGTTTCTCCTCCTCCCCCCCCCCCCCCTCCTCCTCTCTGCCCCCACCCTTCCCCCCCCCCCCCCCCCCCCAGTATGCATGCTCCCTCACCCTCAACCCCACGCCGCCTGGGCCCGGCCCGTCCAGGTCTCCCCCACCCGTGGAAAAGTCCAGGAAGAAATGGTCCCGGAACGACGCAGCTGACAAACAGCGGAAGTCCGCTTGGATGCGGTTAGGAAACACCTGAGCATACCTAGGCCAACACTGCCGCCGTGTGGGGTGAGAGGAGAAGCTCAAGAGTTCAGAGGAGGAGGAGGAGGAGGAAGAGGAAGAGGAGCAGGAGGGAGGGAGGGAGGGAGGCGGCGGTGGGGGGAGGGGAGGGACAGGCCGAAGCCGTCTCAGGGCGATGACGTGGGTGAAAACGTTCCCCTTCAGAAGGGCGCTCCGAAGAGGTAGTTCCGGCGGGACCTTGAGAGCACACAGGGCTTCGTTTTGGAGGCTGATCTTAAAGCTGGGAGTGGGGGTGGGGGAGGGAATCATCCAGACATCCGAAAGACACCGGGCCGGGAAGGCAAGACAGATTCTTTACAAAAGGGAATCGGATGCTTTTGTGCCAGTGTGTTCCATAATCAGACTATCATGGAAATCCATCCACCCATCCATCCACCCACCCACCATCGTTTCGCTCCTTTTCTGTCCTCTACATTTTTAACGGCGAGTGAGTGAGAGAGTCTTTCAATGGTTTGGTAGGATTTTTGAATGTCATGTCGTAGGACCATGGTACTTTTCAGCCATGGATGAACGTGATGGCTTCTTTTCTCAGCTTCAGCTTTCAGGGTTATCCTGAACTGCCTCGCCAAGTGAGGCCTGTGTGTGTCCCTGTGTGCTGGAGGAAGGACACTGTGCTATCCGCATCTTGATCTTGGGCTGAACAAAACCACCGTTGGGAATGTGTTCCTTGGCTTCGTTTCCTTCCCCTATGGCACTGACCTGACCGTCCTGTCCACTCTTTGGATCCTTTATCTCCCTCTTCCCCTCAAGGCACTTGGTCCTTTTCTTCCTCCTCCTCCTGCTCCTGCTCCTGCTCCTCCTCCTGCTCCTCACCCTAGTGTCTCGCCCCCAGCCCTCTCAGTCCCACTCTTCTCAAATTGACGTCTAACTGACTGACAAGGTTTTCTTTTGCCTTCTTGCCTGCCTGCCTGCCTGCCTGCCTGCCTGCCTGCCTGCCTCCCTCCCTCCCTCCCTCCCTCCCTCCCTCCCTTCCTTCCTTCCTTCTTTCCTTCTTTTGGTTTTGTTGCTGTTGCTGTTCCCCCATTAATTTCCAGGTGTACAGACGATGTTTCAGTGTAGCGCAGGAAGGACACAGCGATCACCAGGATACATCTCGTGAGTGACTGTCCGTCACCACTCGGTGTCACGGCAGATGGCATTTGGTGTCATGACGTGCCCGTGACTCATTGATTTCATCCGTGGAAGGCTGCACCGCTTCGTCTGTCTCCGTCACCAGTGGCACTCACTCATTCTCTCCCCCTCCCCACCCACCCCCGCCACCGTGTCACCCCCCTCCCTCCTCTGGCCACCACCCATGTGTTTCTTTGTGGTATCTATGAGCCTGCTTCTGATTTGTTCTGTTCTGTTCACGGTGTATCCTTTGGTAGATTCTGCATGGAAACGACTGATCTGAGGTGCTTCATTTAGCATAATAGCCTTTCTAAAGATCTCTCCAAGTTCCTGCAGACTGTGAGATTTCATTCCCTTCTGGTGGTTGAGTCCCATTTGTGTGTGTGTGTGGGTGGGTGGGTGGGTGGGTGGGTGGGCGTGGTGTGGGTGGGGGTGTGTTTGCATGCGCGTGCGCACACGCGCACCTGAATAGATACAGGTGTGGGCACACAGACGGAGAGTTCTATCATTCTGTTTGTACGGATGTCTACCTGGGTATAGGTGTCGATACCACACATACACACGCGCATATCTTCTTGGTCCCCTCCGTAGGCACTCCGTGGAGTTGCCAGGTTGGGTCGGATGGGGAATCTTTGGTGGAGTGTCCTGAGGGATCCCAGGACTCGTTTCCCTAGTGATGGGGTTTCTCTCTCTGTGAGGTGCCAGGGGATGAGCTCTGATATCTCTGAGTCCGCCAACACTTTTCTCAGCTGCAGGAAAGACGCATTCCCTCGATCAGGAGCCACTGTCTTCTGATGTTTCGAACTTGCTGTCGCGATTGCGAGTCCAGCTCCTGGGCCTTTCCCCTCCAAGTTATCATTGTCCAGATAAACGCCCCGGGGTGCTTCCCTGAGCCCGCCCCCACCCCCAGCAACCCCAGCCCAGCCCAGCCCAGCCCCGCCATTGATTTGTTTCCTACCTTGTGCTTCTTGAGTGTCTGTCTGTTCTACCTTTATTTTGAATGAAGCTGTCTGTTCGGGCCTCCTGCCGACCTCGCTCATCGGGGATTGTTTCTCTTTTGGAGGTTCAGTTGTCTGACGCCTTGATCAGTTTTGGACGGAAAATCCCCTTTGGCCATATGCTTGCGCTTTCCTGGTATGCGCGCACGCACACACGCACACACACACACACGGATGTGTGTTTCTGCCTGTGTACGTACGTGTAGGTCTGTGTGTGTGTATATGTACATATACACATATATATGTACATATCTACGCCTATATGTATATACACACGCGCGCGCGGAGACATCTACACAGACACATGCGTATGTATGCACATAGGTACACGTACACTGACCAATACGTACGTGTATGTATACATACGCGCGCAC